GCCTTTCACCAAGATAAGATCACACAGATCTAGAAGGCTAGGATTGATACCCACGACTGAATTGGAGCACAGCAATAACTCTCCAGCCACACTCACCAGATCTGAGTCCCTCTTAGATGGAGTTAAGACTTTACCTTGCAGCACTAACATTACTGTGTTACCACCTCACCCCACAAAACCCTCAGATGTTCGACACCCAGATGGTGGTATCCACACTGGGATTTGACCAGCAGCATAAAAGGGCAGCAGAGGCACACATGGCACGTGTCCAGAGATGTCAGAGCTGCTCAACATGCTTAGGAGATGGAGTACACAGCAGTAAGGCTCTACACAGCATCTCAGGCCCAAGATGCTCTCCCCACATCCATCTACAAAGTTCTTCCTTTTGAGGAATGCTAAGAAGTGAGGCTAAATGAGCTGTCCTGCTCTTCAAACTATTTGATTTTCTGCCCTGCTCTTCAGAGGCACAGGCCATTCAAAGCACTTCCCAAGGTGTTCATGCTTCCAAAAACACCAATCCAGCTGTCAGCCTACACAAAGACGCAGAGCTCAGCGACTCACTCTTTCCCCCTTGGATAGAGGGAATCCCTAAGCTTGCCCTATCACCAGACTGTGTGTCCCATCCTGCTCTCCGCCATGCACACCCAGCACTGCTCTAACCCCTCATTCACCATTGCCAACATTCTTTGAAACTGCTAAGACTCCTAAATCCCAAAATAAATTGGCCTGAATAAGCATGCCTCAGTTCCAGCCGGACTGCTGTGGGCACTGTCATCTCTGCAGTGGGTTCCTCAGAAACGACTGCTGCAGCTCCTTGGGAACTGTGGCAGCTGAGCCCAGAACAGCCTGCACATTTCTCTCCCTTCATCTGCAAGGGAAAGTCGCCCAGAACAACACAAGACACGTGTGGGCACAGCCAGCCACCAACACCATGCTGTGCTGTGCCAACGTGGCTGATGCCAGCTCCAGTGGCCTCAGAGGATTTACAGCACATGGCATCCCTCAAATGCTTCCAACCCTGCAATCTTGATTGCTCTGTCAGAACCTTGAGGGCTTCTCAGCTGGAAGCATTGCCTGCGCTGCAGCCTTGCTACGGATGGCTTATAAATCTCTGCATGTGAGGAGTTATTTCACTTTACAGCTGCTACAGAGTCTGTGAAATCCCGGATTTCATAGTACAAATACTCCAACCGGTGATAAAACATGAGAGGAGTTTTATCAAACAAAAGTTCCAACCCTCGGTGTTTATAGGAAACGAGCCAGGAGTCTGCAAAGGGAGATGTGAGCCACCCTTAGCCTGACACCACCATACGGCCCCTTGCCCACTAACCTCCCTGCTCATAATTGCATTCATTAACAGAGGGCCAAAAGAAAAACAAAAACAAAAACAAAAACAAACCAAGTCCAACTTGTGTTAGTGTAATCTGTGCCACAGCCTTTCCAGACATAAAGCAGGCCTCCCTAATGAGCTAGAAAAATCAAACCATTTACCTCTTCTGAGGTCTAAATCTCTTCCTTGTGCCCCTAGGTATGAGCAAGGCCAGACAGAAGTAGCTCTGCAACAATAACAAACAAAGCTAAAAACAGAACGTACTCTGGAAGGGAGAAACAAATGAGAGGCTGAGCATAGGATGTCTGTCTCCAAAAAGGATCTGCAATGAAAACCAAAACCGAGCGCCTTCCTTCCTGGTCAGTGGCAGCAGCTGAGCAGGTATCAAATCACTTTTTATTACTGAGAAGAGCTGCATTTGTTTAAACAAAAATAGTAGCAGCAAGTTAATGAGTGCTCCTGCAGTGTCTGCGGAAATTACCTGATAATCTTTAGCTCATGGGTCATTTGTAGAAGGGTACAACAAGTGGAGACCCTGCTTGTGCAACATCAACCCCAGACACTGCAGCAGAGTCCCCAGACACAAGGTGACTGCAAGGTGTGCACAGAAAGGCTGCAGACCCACGCAATAACCCAGAGTCTGGCAAACCCTTTGTCACAGGCAAGTGCCCAGAGTTGAGCCTAAGTCAGATGCTTGCAACCAGCAGCAGCCTCAGGAACCCCAAAGGCTGCAAGCTCAATATTCCCTGGCTCTATTTTTAACCTTGCAGCTGGGGAAGATCCCTGTTGCTACGCTACCTGTGTTGTGGGTCCGGAGCAGACAGCACATCTCACCCTGGAACTTGCTGAGGAGCTCAGCAGGACACAACCAGTGAGGTTTTAAATCCATCACGGCAGCTGCAGCAGTCACATAGGAGTGCTCCCCTTCTCGCTCGTCTCAACTTTCCCTTCTTCTCCAGCGCTCGCCTGCAGCTCAGAGACATCCTCTGAGTTCAGTCACCCCAAAGCTTCCCGCAGCCCTGGCACAGTGCAGGCAGACAGGTGGAGAAGTACCAGTGGTTCAGCAGGCAGGCAGGCAGCCTTCCCTTTTGAGTCACTTCCCAGCTACTTTAGCAGACCTTGTAAGAGCCCGCAGTGCTCCTCCAAGAGGGGAAGAATCCCTGCACGCCTCCATCAGTTTTGGGTGACTTTGGGGAATACATCCTCCAGCAAATATCCACCAGTCATTAATCAAGTTTCCCAATATCCCCCCAGTGATGTAGAGGTCTGGGAGCTGACTGAGCGGGAAGCAGCCACTTGTAGAAGTTCCTGTCACCAGATGATGCATTCTCTTAATTTCCAGTTAAATACAGAACATGAATATTTCTGTCCTCGCCTGCACTGCTGATGGCAGGGGATAATCAAATGCTGCACACATCGCTATTGCAGGGGCAGGAATAATTCGTCTGAACATCAAAAACCCTCACAGTTCCCTGTGCCTCCTTTATTTGGGATGCAAAGCTGGACATACTGATTTGTTTACAGTGGCCACTAGAAGCTCTGTTAGGAGGAAAGCATCATGAAGCATGACTTGGCTTTTACAGCCCCCCCAGTTTAGTCTGGCCCTCCTGGAGCCAAGCAAGAAGAGGGTCAGACCTCTTTGCTTCTGACCCTGAGTCATTTGGAAATGAGAAAAAAGCCCTGTAGGGTTTTTCCTCCCCTCAGAGTTCCTCTGAATTGCTACTTGCACAAGTGCCCTGGGCTTCCAGGGTACAACAGTTATGCTGATGAACAGATGCCAATCTCCAGAAGTTGATTCTATGGCCATTTTTGGGGATGGTTGGAGTCAGTGCAAAACCCTGCTGATGGCACGGCCATTCCTCGGCTCTGGGGAGCAGGGAACGGGACCCGGGTGGCTCAGCAGCACACACAGCGTCTTTCCCCATCATCTCTTTGTGAGGACCGCAGTCAGACTCCAAGCACATCTTTTCTTCTTGCACCATCCAGTGGTTCAGGCTGGAAGTCCGTTGGGAAGAACTCAGGCATCCAACTGCGACCATTGCAGAAGGGTTGAGGCAGCTGCTGGGTCTGGTGGGAAGGCTGCAGGGAGACGTCATCACAGCCTTCCAGTATTTAAAAGGAGATTATAATCAGCTTTTTCACAGAACCATAGAATCACAAGGTTGGAAATGACCTGCAAGATCATCCTGTGCAACCGCCCTCCCATCACCACTGCTACCACAAGCACTAAACCACATCTCGCAGCTCCTCATCCAGACGCCTCTTGAACGCTGCCAGGGACGGCGACTCCACCACCTCCCTGGGCAGCCATTGCAGTGCCTGGGAGAAAAAGTTCTTCCTTACGTCCAACCTAAACCTCCTCTGCTACAACTTGCGGCCGTTTCCTCGGGTCCTGGTTGTAGCCTGGGAAAAGAGGCCAAAGCCCTCCTCATCACAGCCTCCCTTCAGGAAGCTGTAGAGTGCAGTGAGGTCTCCCCTGAGCCTCCTCTTCTCCAGGCTGAACAACCCCAGCTCCCTCAGCCGCTCCTCATGACTTGTGCTCCAGACCCCTCACCAGTTTTGTTGCCCTTCTCTGGACACGTTCCAGGTCCTTTTTTTTTGTAGCGAGGGGCCCAAAACTGAACACAGGACTTGAGATGCAGCCACACCAGTGCTGAGTACAGAGGGATGCTCACCTCCCTGCTCCTGCTGGCCGCACTATTTCTAATGCAGGCCAGGATGCCGTTGGCCCTCTTGGCCACCTGGGCACACTGCTGGCTCGTGTTCAGCATCAACCAGCACCCCCAGGTCCCTTTCCTCTTCACAGTCATCCAGCCTCCTGTAGCGCTGCATGGGGTTGTTGTGGCCAAAGTGCAGGACCCAGCACATGGCCTTGTTGAACCTCATCCCCTTCACCTCAGCCCAGCGATCCAGCTTATCTAGACCCTTCTGAAGGGTCTCCCTATCCTCAGACAGACCAACACCACCTCTAAACTTGGTGTCACCTGCAAACTGAGGGTGCACTCAATGCCCTCATCTAGGTCATCAATAAAGATATTAAACAAGATGGGCTCCAGTACTGACCCCTGGGGGACACCACTTGTAACGGGTCAGCAGCTGGACTTAGCACCATTAACCACTGCCTGTTGGGCATGGCCCTATAGCCAGTTCTTTACAAGGGTAGATAGCAACAGGACAAGAAGGAATGGTTTTAAGCTCAAGGAGGGATGGTTTGTATTGGATGTCAGGGAAGTTCTCCACAGAGGGTGCCGAGGTGCTGGAACAGCTGCCCAGAGAGGCTGGGGATTCCCTGCCCCTAGAGGTGTGTAAGGTCAGGCTGGGCAACCCTGGCTGATACGTGATGGAGGAATTTAGTGAGATAAACCGCAAGGCAGGAGCGCTGCAGGCGAAGGAGAGAAACAAAACCTCCGCTCCACAGCACCAGAAGGCGGCGACCGTTAGACCGCGAGCGCGGCAAATTTAAACTAGGAGGCGACGGCGCGGCGTGGGACCCTCGCGGCTTTGGATTGGCGGAGAGGGAGAGAGGAGCGCGCTGATTGGTCCACGGATGAAGGGAGGGCGGGAGCTCGACGGCGGAACTTCCGGAGCGGTGGGCGCAGCTTCAGCCCGCCGCTGCTATGAGGGCCGCGACCCCGCGGAGGGGCGGCCGGGGCGCCGGAGGGGCGGTGGAGTCCCCGGCTGCGCGCTCTCTCAGCGCTTCGGCCACCCCTACGTTGGTGGAATGTCCCGGTAACGACGATGAGAGGGAAAGGCGGCAGCGTCGGCGCTCGCGGGCGGTGGATCTGCAGCTCGGCGGCACCGAATCGCCGCTCAGTCTCTGCTCTCCGGTGCCCAGGTAGGACCGGGCCGTGGGGGGGCGGCGGGCGGGCTCGGCTCCCCTGGCACGGCCCTGCTTCCTTCCCTCAGGCAGGCGGACTCGTCGTTGCCGGCCTTGTCGGGATGGACGAACGCGCAGATCTCGGAGCATTACTCTGCCTGCATCAAGCTGTCCGCTGAGAACGTGAGTGGGTTCCCTGCTCTGATCGCACCTGGATTTGGGGGAGGAGGGGATCCTCTGCGACGTGTCACAGCTCCTGAGTCATCGTAGAATGGCTCGGGGTGGAAGGCAGCCAAGTTTCAACCCCCTGTCACAGGCAGAGTCGCCAATCTTCAGATCTGCTGGTACACCAGGTTGTCCAGGGCTCCATCCAACCTGGCCTTGAGCACCTGCAGGGATGGATGGGGCATTTACAGCCTCTCTGGGCAGCTGTTCCAGCACCTCGCTGCTCTCTGTGAAGAATTTCCCCAACATCCATTCTAAATCTTCCCTCTTTAAGCTTAGAGTCATTCTCCCTTGTCCTATCGCTGTCTTCCCTTGTAAAAGGCTTGTTCTCCTCCTGTTTATAAACCCCTTTTAAATACCATTAGGCAGCAGTGAGGTCTCCTTGCAGCCTTCTCTTCTCCAGCTCCCTCAGCTTGTCTTTGTAGGGGAGGTGCTCCAGTCCTCTAACCATCCTCATGGCCTCCTTTGGACCCTTTCCAACAGCTCCACATCTTTCCTGTACTGAGGGTCCCAGACCTGGATGCAATACTCCAGACTGGGCCTCATGAGGGCAGAATAGAGGGGGACAGTCACCTTTCTCTGCTGGTCACCACTTTGCTGAGAGAGCCCAGGCTGCCATTGGCCTTCTTAGCTGTACACTGCTGGGTCATGTTCAGTTGTTCATCCACCAGGACCCCCAAGTCCTTCTCTGCAGGGCTGCTCTCAAGTATTTCTTCTCCCAGTCCGTATACATATCTGGGATTACTCCAACCCTAGTGTAAAACCTTGCTCTTTGCTATGTTGAACCTCATTAGGTTCACACAGGTCCACCTTCCAAGTTTTTCAAGGTCCCTCTGGGTGGCATTCATTCTTTCTGATGTGTCAGCTCAGTGTAAAGCTCGTTTGGGCCTTTCAGGCAGGTCAGAGTGGTCTGTGAGAACCCCACGGGTTGATGGCTTGCAGGTTGACAGCATCCTGTTTGGAGTTTCTGTTCTCACCTGCACTTGTATTGCAGAAAATCAACACCAGGAATGTTTTTGGCTTACATCTGATAGACTACATGACAGATATACTGAAACAGAAGGACTCTGAGCTGACCAACTTCAAGGTGAGTTGTTCACGGTGGTGTTGGGTCTCTGAATTGAAGCTCTAACAAATGACACATCTGAAATAAATGAGCTTTCAGCTAGAGATCTGGTAGAGGCAGCACTGTCATTTTTAGTGGAATTTAATACTGCTGACTGCTTTGGTACTGCAGAAATTAAAGGCTAAGTGCCTCTTTTAGTGATGGTCCTTCAAAAGGAGAGCTTTAATAATAAGGCTTCTGAGGTAAACGTTGGATGTTTTGGCCAGGAACAGAGCAGGGCTATGGTGGGAAAGAAGGTGATGTGACTTGAGTGTAGGAGACAGAAGGCACAGATCAAAATAGGCAATATCCAAGCAAAGGCTCCTTGCTATTGATAGTTCCTTGTTGCTCCAGAAGTATTCAAAAACTCAGGTCTGCATCTCGTCTTCTTCATTTACCTCTTGCTGTGTCCTGTTCCTTCCTCACTAAAAACTGCATCCTGTGTTCCTCTGTCAGATGGCAGCTGGCACCATCGATGCCAGCGTGAAGATCTACGCCGTGCGTGTGGATGCGGTCCATGCAGACACGTACAAAGTTCTTGGAGGCTTAGGCAAGGAGTCAGCACCTGCAAAAGAAGTGGGCAGCCCAGAAGAAGGTGTGCCATTCACTCCTTTTCTTTTAAGCTCTTCCTGGTTCCACCCACAACACTTCCTGTGTTCTTCTGAATTTCAAAGTGCTGTTTATTTCTCCTAATATATATAGCTGGGAGAATGCCACTAGCTTGGTGCATTTATTTCTTCTTAAGGGCTGCAAAATACTGAGTTTCTTTTCTGGGGAAGTTTGAGATGAGAACCTGATGCTCAGCCCTGTACTTGAATACTTGGCCAGCTAGATCTGAGTGCAAAACAGGAATGGCCTAATCTGAAATGTTTGAGAACGAAGCACCCCACGCTTTGCTGTCCTTTGCTTTGAAACAGAAATGTGCTGTTAAGACAGAGGAGGCAAAATAAAAAGGAACACATTGAGCAGCCACTCAAGTGTTGGTGGTTTGTGCTAATGGATCCCTGCCTGGGTCACTTTATGCCCCCAGGGCTTTTGTGTGTGTGCACAAAGTGAAGTACAGTTGTATTGTCCTTCAGATGTAGGATATTTTAGCAAGTTTTTCTAACAGCAGCTTCTTTTTCTTTCAGAAGAAGACAGTACAGCTTCCAGTTCTGCCAAGAGAGTTCAAACAAAGAAGAAGCACTCCTTCAAAACGATTGAACAGAACTTGAACAACATCAATGTGACAGAGGCCAATCGGAGATGTGAGGTGGGTGGAGATGGACCTGCTGTAGTGGTGAGTGGAGGAAGAGTGGAGGAAGGGAAGCTCGCCTCATTTTTTGCCTTTTTATTGTTTTCCTTACTGTGTGTCCTCTCTTGGGCTGTTAGATTCACGTGCATGTCTGAATTCTGCTATTGTAACACGGTGGTCCTTAATTGTGTCTATTCCTGCTGTGTGAGGCCACTGTGAGAGTTTCCTCCTCACTGAAAAAAGAGGCATGAGTCAATGAGTCATTCTCCCTTTGGCTTTGTATTTACACATCTTCTGCAGAGGCTTCTACATCTGTTCCATTCCTTCATTCTGCGCCTGCAGGTTGACCCCATGTTCCAGAAAACAGCAGCATCTTTTGATGAATGCAGCACAGCTGGCATCTTCCTCACCAGCCTACGTACACAGAGTTGTCACAGTGAGCTCCTTTTTGACTCCAACATTGTGCCTCTCCCATCTTCGGAAACCCTCGTCCTGCCCAACAGCGATCCTGTGAAGGTGACAGATTTGAAGTGTGAGTGCTGGTAACCACTAAGCCATTCTCCCATCCAGATTTCATTTTCATCTGCCAAACGTACTCCTTTCAGCCTCAGCCAGCTTGCTTATGCCTTGATTGACCTCCTGGCTACCTTGTGGCACCTTGCTGTGATCCTGCCTGGGCTGAGGCTGGTTGCTGACAGGACCAGGACCCTCACGGCCTTTTAGATCTCTGTATGTAGCTCATGCAGATTGAGATGAGCGTGCTCCAGGTTTAGGGCTGACTCTTACAGAGTCTTTTAACCCTGTCAGTATTCCTAAACCCTGTTACTCTTAAGATTCACAGTGTTATGCCCACCCTTCCATCAGAGATCCGACTGAGCATCCCTATCTGCCGAGAAATGAGCCCAAAATGCTTTTGAAACTAAGAACAGTTTAGCACCTGGCATTTGTTTTACCTGCTGGTTATTTCATCCTGCGTCTGATATTTCTTTACCCTTCCTATCTCTAGTGCTGCTAGAAAAGTGTGTTTTAAAACGCCCCATCTACTCTGCGCTGGCTGATTTCCAGTTCACGCACTGGGACGCCGCATCCCATGAAGAGGTACGTAGTTGGCTCTGTGCAGGATGGAGTACTGAGCTGTATCCTGGAGAGCTGTGTGGGGCAGCAGGGTGTGCTGTGGGGTGCTGTGGCTTTTCCCCTGAGCACCTTTTCTTGCAGTCAGTATCAGCCCTGCTGGATAAATTTAAGAAGAGCGACCAAGTGTTCGATATCAATGCAGAAAGAGACAGTGATGTGGAAGATGGTGTTCCTGCCCCGTCCGATGATGACTTCACTGTGGACTCCCCCAGGAGTGTAACAACAGAAAAGATTGGGGAATTTGCAGGAAACAAATCCCTCGTGGCACTCTGTGAGAGCAAGAGGCGAGTAGTCACTCACGTTTATTGCTTTGCTTTGATTGCCAGCAACGAGTTAAGGCAGCTCTCTGGAGGATCTTCGCTTTCCTGTGTGCGTGTTTTCCGTCTGGCTATAGTTTGCTTTCTGATCAAGTTTCAGGTACACTGAGGAATTCACATCTCTGCCTTCCAGAAGGACCTCCTTTGTATGGTCATGTTTCCTCTTTAGTTGCTTGTCTGCTTGCTCTGCTCCCATCTTCAGCCTGCCCTGCCCACCTCTTTTCACAGCAGCCTCACAGTCTCCAGACAGTGCAATACTTACATTACAGAGTATTGTATTACTTAGAATACAGAGCAAACTACAGTTTGCTGATAAGAAAGCAGGAGTCTTGCAGGCTGGTGTCTGCACAGAGCTGGTCAGGGTATTAAACACATTCGGGCCCAGTGTACCTCAAAGGAAGGATTTTACTGAGCAGTGTGTGTGCTCTTTCCAGAATTGATGCAGTTTCTTTTGGGGAAGGAGACATTGGGACCATGTGCCTTCATCTCTCCATGAAACCAGGGGAATACTCCTACTTCAGCCCCCGAACTCTGTCAATGTGGGCTGGCCCAGAGCACTGGCGTTTCAGACCTCGACACAAATGTATGTATGTATTCAGAGCCTGGAGCTCATTTGCTGCTGCCTGGTTGTGGTTCTGTTGGGAAATGGGCAATATGTGAATAGGGAACTACTGGAGAGAGTCCAGCTGAGGGCTACAAAGATGATAAGGGCTGGAGCATCTCCCTTCAAAGGAAAGGCTGAGAGCCCTGGGGCTGTACAGTCTGGAGAACAAAAGACCGAGGGGGTTCTGATCAATCAAAGTGTGTAAAGGGAGGCTGTCGAGTGATTGGGTGCTCAGCACCACAAGAGGGGGCAACAAACTGGAACAGAGCAAGTTCTATATGAATGTGGGGGAGAACTTCTTTACTTTGAGGGTGACAGAGCACTGGAACAAGCTGCCCAGTGAGGTTATGGTTTATCCTCTGTATATATTTTAAATATATCTGGGCATGGATGTGCATGGAATCTCTGGGAATCCTGCTTTAGCAGGGGAGTTGGACTAGATGATCTGCAGAGTCCCCTTCCAACCCTGTGACTCTGTGAACCATAAAGCAAAGGCAGTAGAGATGAGACAACTCTGCATGGCTCTTTTCTAGCCTGACTGGAAGCAGTACTGAGTTAGGACACCAGAAGGGCTCTCAAGTCACACGCAGATCCTTTGGTGTCTGATGTGTTCTCTGTTGTTTGGGTTTGTTAATGATGCTCAGCATTGAGCAGGAGTCTCACTGTACTGATAGAAGAAAATACAGATCCTTCAACATAAAAACTGAAGGTTAGTTTATTTTTACTGCTTCTATAAGGACATACTGATCCCTTTTAAAGTGTGAAGCAGAGGACACCGCCTGTTTCTTTCCCTAACACAGAAAAAAGTGTTTGTAAAGGACACAGGTAACCTGTCACTGTGGAGCAGAAGCTCACGTTCCTTCCTTTCTGCAGCAAGTGCTGACTCTGAGAAAGAGAACAAGAAGAAGAAGGCAAAGAGAGCATTTGAAGTGAACTTTGATGAGGATGTTGACTTTGAGACGTATTTCCGTAAGACCAAGGTATGCACTGAGTTTCTGCCTCTGCTCCCTTTGCTATATCAGTGTGTCTTGGAGAGCCATCAGCAGGTGGCTCACCTTGGTTCTCTTGTGGAACCTGGCTGTGTGAACACAGCAACGCAGCATCCTGCGTGTTCCTTCATGCAGGGTCTTCTGGCTTCAAAGCTTCTTACAGTTTTACCAACCTTGAAGTGAAGAATCGGGCTGGATTCTTTCTGGCCAGAAAGGCCCTGTCTGAACGCACAGGCCCAGCTGTGTGTCCCAGGATGCTGTGTTTAAGTCACTGCATGCAGTGTAGGACTCATCCTTGGAAGCACTTCAGAACTTCTCTCGTTTTAAACAAATATCCATGTTTGGTCATAGAATTGAAGAATGATAGAAAGGCTTGAGTTGGGAGGGACCTTAAAGATCCATTCCATGGGCTGCTTGCCACCCCCCAGCTCAGGCTGCCCAAGGCCCCATCCAAGCAGGCTGTGAAGACCTGCAGGGAAGGGGCACCCACAGTTTCTCTTAGTGATCTGTTCCAGAGCCTCACCCACCCTCTGAGTAAAGAGTTTCTTCTAAACATTTAATATAAATCTGTCTTTTAGTATAAAACCATTCATCCTTGTCATGTCACCATCTGCCCTTATAAGAAGCTGAATACTGGATATCACATGGATTATGGCATTACCTTCTGCAGGCTGCTTTAACTCTGAGCAAATCCATTCTGGAAAACCAGAACGTAAAGAGCACCACACTTCCTGCAGACTTCAACTACAACCCTAACAACATTGTCCAGCTATTCCTTAAACCAGCTGCTAAGGTAAGAGGCTTCTCCAAAATCTTCTTGGCAATGTTCCGTGTGCAGAATCGCTCTTAATCTGCTTGAAGTGCCTCTGGGATGCTCCTCAGGGCAGGAAATGAGCCAGCATGATGCCTGATAGTGAACCAACTCACTTGTGGATGCTGAGTTGTCTGTGCTTGGCTGTTGTGCTTTATGAGGGGATTGGTGGGTGGTACGTGAGGAGGAGGAAGAGGCTGGGAAAAGGGCTGGCAGTGGGTTAGCAAGATGTAGGCACTGCTTGGGGAAAGCATCTAGTTTCCTCTTTCCTGATGTTCCAGTCTCATCTCTGCAGCTCTTCAGGCTGCCTAAGCCAGGCAGCTCATTGGATCACGAAGATGAGATCGGTGAATATGATTACAATAACCCCAATGACACCTCCAATTTCTGCCCTGCAGCACAGGTAACTGGGAGCAAGAACATTTCTCTCTGTTGCTCACACTTGACATGTGGTAGAAGGAATTCAGGAAGAATCGTATGTCTAGCATCACTTACCAGTGGACAAAGAGTTGCCATCAGATTGTGGCAGAGCTGATGCCACGCACCTTTGTCCTGTCACTCAGTGGTGCTCTGGTACCATCAATTCAACAATCTGCCCTTGGAGTTTGCTGGCTGATTTCCTGCAGAAACTCCATTCCATGCTGTTCCATACTGCACCTCCCATGAAGTAGCAGTAGACACCACTGCTCACTTCTGCAGTCACCTCTGCACAGTGATACTTGCACCCAGCTGATTTGAGCTCCTGCTGAAGTACATTTTCTCTAAAGCTTCAGCTTTCTGCCAGGCCAGTGCTGCAGGTCTCATATGGCCCCACGCTGGTGGGGGAGCCTTCATCTCTGTCTGTGTAGAACAGCCTGTTGATATTCTGTCCTTTGGGTCTCTGGTGGGTTTAGCTTTAACCCGAGCTTTCAGCTGTCAGAAGAGGCTGAAGGTCGTTCCTCCACAGGGGCAGTGGGCAAGTGTCACCACTCTCCTGAGGGGTGGGCACTCAGTGCAGGGAATCTGCAGCTCCTCCGAGATGTCTGGATGTGCCCTCACTGGTGTATCTCTTCTTGACCAGGCTGCAGATAGTGATGATGACAACGACCCCGTCCAATTCATGGGCCAAGCAGACTTCAACCTCACCTCTCACCCTGAGGGTCACGATCATGAGCTCAACGGGGTTGAAGGTGTTGATATCACAATGTATGGGGAGCTAAACCTCATTGCTGAGCCTCAGAAGGTAAGGACTTGTGATGTGCCCAGCTATGTACCACTGACTGAGCAGATCTGCAGCAGGGCTTCTCAGGGAGAGCGAGAGAGCAGTTTTCCTTGTTCAGGATCTCCAGGGTTTTGCTGATGGATGCTTTATTCTGAGATGATGTCATTGCTATAGGAAAACCAAGTTTGGGTTGTTCCTTTGGTTGAGGTTGAGGACGCTGCTGCTGCTGCTGAGCTGCTCCCTTCTAACCCTGAATGTCTTTTCCTCAGGTCAATAAGATAGCAATTCAGTATGCAAAGACAGCCAAGAAAATGGACATGAAGAGGTTGAAGCAAAACATGTGGGACCTTCTTATTGATATACAGAAAAACACAGCGGCAGAGGTGAGTGTAGGCAGATAACAGGCCTGAAAGAAGCGTGTGCCCTGCATGTAACAGTGGTTAGCGCCCACACAGATTATCATGGACGTGTTGGTGGCAATTCCTTTCCAACAGCCTTGCTCCATGGGATAGTTGCTAAGGATGGTCTGTGAGCAGTGATTTGCAGTGGTGGTTCTCTGAGCATGAGGCTGAGCCCTGGGGAGCAAAAGCTGCCTCAGCAGTGTCTGTCTTTTTGCTGAACAGATTGAAGACGTGGAGAAACAGAGTGACACATCAGTGGTGACAGGGGAGAAGGCCTTCAGCAGCATCACAAAGGAACTGCTTCACAGGTAGAGAGGCCCTACAAAAGGTTGGACTCCGGGCTGGGTAGACTTTTGGGCAAGCACTGATCCATTTGGCTTCTGTTGCAACCTGCTACCTGAATCCTGACAGGAGGGGAATCTCTTGCTGTCTATTTGCTTGAGGGAGCTACAGGTTGCATTTGGCTTGGCCAAGTCTCTGATAATGGAATAAGGTAGAGAAAATCAGAGACTGGGGAAGGAGCTGCCACATGCAGCTTATCTTTGGTGACCTGGTAGCTTGCAGACATGCTCTATCCACAGTCACAGGCTCTGGCCATCCTAACCTTCCTTCTCTTCCTTAGGTTGCCTTCTGTGATGGCTAAAAATCTGTCTGTCCCTTTAGCCTTTGCCTGCCTCTTGCACTTGGCAAATGAGAAGGTAAGTGCAGTGCATGTATGCGAGGTGAGTAGGAGCAGTGGGCAAAGCACACAGCATTTTATTTTCACATCAGAATCTTATAATAAATCCCATTTCGTGTTTATAGTGAACACAAATCAGGTGGATGTGCTGGAAATAAAAAGCACAGTATTTCCAGCCTGACTTCTGTCTGCTGCCAGATGTGAGGACAGGGAAGGACAGAAGGGATGAAGCACATCTGCTTAATGTTATGGTGTTGTGGCTGCTTCAGAGTGATAACAGCAGCTGAGGGCATTCCTCAGTCTTTGCACTGTGATGGAGGCAGAAAGGCCGAGGGTTGTTCTGAGCATTCCTTGGGTGTTTTTGTTCAGCTCCCTGGGTCTTCAGCCTCAAAGGGGAGCAGACTGGCTCTCCTAATCTCAGCTGTTTGCTCTCCACAGAATCTGAAACTGAATGGCACAGAGGACCTGTCTGATGTCATTGTGAAACAAGGAGACTGAGCTGTGTGTGGAGCAGCTCACCCAGGCTGACCCCCAGGCTGGAGCTTTGCTCCCCCGATGGACAGCGCTCCTTCTGCAGCAGTGGCAGCTTTTCCTCCTCCCAGGATTGTTGCTGAGAAGGCCCTCAGATCTGCACACCTCAGGAAAACTTGTTAAATGGGGGATGTGATCTCACCTACCGAAACCTGGAGGCCATACAGATGGACAGCTGCTGCTCAGCCTGCCCTCCTTGATCCATTCCCTCTTTCCTGGGTTCAGGAGCAGAGAGCTGCAGTTCCTCTGTGAACCGTTGGTGCCTAGGAGCAGAATGTTGCTCCGTGTGTCGTTTGTTGTCTGTAACTCAGTACACTGACTGACTTACTGATGTTTCCAGTTCTTATAATCCTTTTCCTTTGATCTTTCCCTGACGTGACTGATACTGAGCTTACCAATAATAAATCCCTACTGCCTCTTAGATCTCTGTGCAGGGAAGAAGGAAACTGAAGCAAGAGAGGCTAAAATAAAACACAGGTGTTGAGGGAGCAGCAGAACAAAGATGCTCCTAAAGGAAAGAGGATCACCAGAGCACCATCGCCCAGAACCCAGTCCTGCAGTACCCAACAGGGGAGCAAGAGAGACCCAGAGATGATTCAAGACAAGCCTGGGACAGTGGTTGGCAACCCTGCACAAGGTAGGGGGGTTGAAACTAGATGATCATGGTCCTTTTCAACCCAGGGCATCCTATGATTCCCTGAATGCTTCTCTGAGACTGAGAAAGAAAGCTGTCAAGGGGCAGCAGGAGACTTGGCATTCAGTGCAGCAATCTGTGCAATCTGCTGCAGGGAAGCAGGGGGAATTGTACTAAAACTCCAGAGGTCCCTTCCAGCCTCTGTATTTGGTGACAGAAGTGTGAAAGCAGCCAGCAGGTGGAAGTTGGGTGGCTTTGCAGGATCAGAACAGCGCAGCCCTGCAAGGCCACAGGCCATTGCATTGTCATCAGCCACGTCCCTCCCTTCGTCTCCACTCACTGCAATGGGAGCTGAGTTGGCTGCACCCGCAGGGATAGGGCACCCACAACCTCTCTGGGCAGCAGTGCCAGGGCCTCAGCTCCCCCTCTGTGAACAACTTCCCTGACATCTGAACCAAATCTCCCCTCCTTTACGTCCAAACCATTCCTCTTTGTCCCTGTCACCATCTCCCGTGTGGAGCGGGGGCTCCCTGCAGCCTTCTCTTCTCCGCGCTGAACACCCCCGGCTCCCTCAGCCTTTCTCCATAGCAGAAGCGCTGCAGCCTCTGAGCGAAGCACCCAGAGAAAAAGCTTTTCTTTTCTCATTTGGGATCGCTGTAGGGCACACAAGAGGCAAATTCCCCATCTGAACACACAGCCTTGGCTTTGCTGAACCTCCACCCCACAGCCCGTCCTTTGCACCCATCTCTGTCTGGCTCAGAGGGAAGGAAGCGGTGCGGGACCACATGGAAGGCCTTGCACAACTCCAGGGAGACGACATCAGTTGCCCTCCCGTTGCCCATCACTGCCATCACAGCATCAAAAAAGCCACCAGATGGGTCAGGCACGATCTGCCCTGGGTGCCGCCGTGCTGGCTGGCACAGATCACTTCTCCATCCCTCAGCTGCCTCAACATCTCCTCCAGGAAGATCTGCTCCATCACCCCAAATACACCCCAAAAACACGAGGTCTCCATGACTTAAGCACTACACAGGTGTAGCATGGAAACCTCTTACCCTGAACAGAAGCCAATGTGGGGACTGGGGGCATTTTGCACCCTGTGTCCTGCACAGACCAAGCAGGCTCTCACACAGTTGGGAAATGATGTTATTTATTGATGGAATACAAGACTGGAATTGAAATGTGGACAGC